ACCAGTTGTTAAGAATCCGCTTGCCAATGCAGGGGGCACAGGTTCAAGCCCTGGTCCCAGAAGATCCCACATGCCGTGGAGCAACTAAGCTCGTGCGCCACAACTACTGAGCCTGCGCTCTGCAACTACTGAAGCCCGCGCACCTAGAGCCTGACTCTGCAACAAGAGAAGCCACTGCAATGAGAGAAGCCCGTGCACCGCAACGAAGATCCAATGCAGCCAAAAATAAATAAATAAAAATTTAAAAGTTTTAACATATTTTGAACTGGACAAAAATGAAAATACAGCTTACCAAAATTTGTGGGATGCAGGGAAAGTAGTGCTTAAAGGGAAATTTATAGCATTGAATGCATACATGAAAAAAGAAGGAAAATATAAAATCAATCATATAAACTTCCACCTGAAGAAAACAGAAAAAGAAGAGCAAATTAAATCCAAAAGAAGTAGGAGAAAAAAAATACTAGAAATTGCAGCATAATTCAGTGAAATTGGAAACAGGAAACCAATAGAGAAAATCAATTAATACAAAAGCTGATTCTTTAAAAAGATCAATAAAATTGATAAGCCTCTAGCCAGGCTAAGAAAAAAAGAGAGAGAACACAAATTACTAATATCAGCACAGGGGGTAGGGAGGTGTCCAGGATGTAGGGGTACTGCAAAGAAAAAAAATGTTGCCTGCTCTTCCAGTTCTACAAAGATCAAGCCATTAGCCACGGCAGTGGCCCACAGACAGTGCACCTGAGGGGAATTCAAGACAGAGAAAAACAGGAAGTATTCTGTGCTTTGGATACACTAGCCCCTACATGGTTAAGACGCGTACTTTAAAGGAACATTTAAATGATCCCAGTTTTTCCATCTTCTTCCCATACACAGAAAAGCACTAAAATCATTAACTTGAGATGTCTGTTTCTTGTGATCAACAGTAAGCTTTCTATGCTTGACTGCATGTTTTTCCCAGCAAAATGTTCATATCCCCTGGCTCCTCCCTTACCTCTCGGGAGCCGTCCCTCAGAGCTATCCGAGAGGTTGTCTCCCATGCTACAGTCTGCAGTAAGGTCCAGGAATAAAAGTGAACTGGTAACTTTACACTGTGCATTTTCCTTTAAGTTGACAGTGCTGGGAGGAGGGATCTGAGGCTCTGCCGCCAGTATAGGGGGACAAGGTTGGGGTGAGGCGAGTAAAGTCCGAGGTGCAGGGATGAGGGAAGGAGGGGGTCTAGGGTAGGGGAGCGGTTTCGGGGCTGTGAGGAACACGGGGCTGTGGGAAGGCGGGAGTGAGACAGCCCTTCGGCTCTGGGTAGCTGGGAGAGGTGGGACAGGAACTGGGCCGCCAGCAGACGAGATGCGAGGCGCCAGGTCGGGGCTGGGCCGCCAGGGGGCGCAGGCAAACTGAGCCAGGCGGCGGGCGTGGGGCGGGTCAGGGGGCGGGGCCTGGAAGGCGTGGGGCGGGTCAGGGGTGGGGCTGGCAGGCGCGGGGAGGGGCGGGGGGGGGGGGGGGGGGGCGGGGGGGGGGGG